GTCTTATTCTAGGTGCTCACTAAATCTTACATCAGTGAGTGAGCTTAGAGGTACTAAACTTCATCCTGCATTGCTATGTACTGAGTTGATAGATGATCATTGAGGAATATGACAAAAACCTGATATTTGTATAAATTACATAGTGATTTCACATACTTACCTATCCCAGCCCTGGGAAATGTATATAGGATTAGAAAAAAATATGCAAGTGACAATTGTGAGTGAGTCTCCCCTCTGAGTGGCGCTCAGGTTGGTACAATTCCCAAAATAGGTGTGTTAAGGTGCCTTTTTATTTGGTGAAGATGGGGTGGCCCCAGTCTCTTATTTTTGCCATCAGAGCTGTTTCTGTAACTTTCACCATTTCTAAGTCCCCTCCCACCAATATCAAAAAGGTCTTTTTGCCCCTTGGATGGAGATTTAATGCTTTTCATCCCCCATCCGCATACTTTATATTTTAGGTCCCGTTAGTTCTCTATTCCTATTAGGTTTCCGCCACATCTGCATGGATATTGTCCCTTTCGTTTGAGTTTTAGCAGAGGAAAGCCTGGCCATTTCAGGCTCCACTGGTCCTTGTTAAAGAGAAGACAATTTGCAGTGACGTATAACTGCCAAGTGAGCATGTCACTGGCATGTGGGCAAATTTCTTCAAAAGCATGAGGAGTAAAGCTGTGAATCAGAATTATAATATTAATAGTTTAATGAAAACACATAGGGCAACAGTTAAAGTCATGTTCTAGAATAAATTATAATTAGTTTGATTTTTTAAGATTATTCTACCATTTAAGTAAAATAGAGATGATTAAAGAAAGAAGGATATTTATATTCCATCCATCTTTCTGCTTCAAAATATTCAACTTCTGGAAACTTGGGGAACATCCAGACTCTCTAAATAGGAACAGGCTGCTAACTACTGCCTAAGTGAATCGTGTAGCTATTTAAGATGATGGATGAGATCCTAGTCTGAGGCAAAACCATTTCTTGCAGGGAGTGGCTTATAAAACCTTTATTTCAGAGAGGGCTTGAAATATAATCTTATATAAATACCTAGGGTTAATACAGCTGAGCTGAGATTGCTTTTCTAAAAAATAATTTTGAATAGGTAATATACAAAAGAGTGTAACATTTAAAAAGCATAAAAATTGAAAGTAAATGTCTCCCCAGCTTCATGTCCAGTTGCCAGTTTTTCCACTCTGAAGGCAACCAATACAACCAGTGTCAAGTTATCTATTTGGAAATACCTTTTTCATATACAAATCCAGACATATATTCTTGTTTTAAACAGGTAGTAGAATGATTGCTTTAAAATGCAGTGTCAGAATCACACAGTTACAGAAACTCCTTTGTTTGAGAACAGGTCTAAATTCCTCAACACTGTTCAAAGCCTCTCTGCCTCTCCAACTTGCCTTTGAATATGTCCCAAGTGATGTCTCACAAATGTTCACCCTCCAACCCATGGTAGAGGGGAGTGGGCATGCTGCTACCCTCAGGGACATCGTCATTTGTATTTATGAAAATTAGTCAGAAACTTGAAAATAAATGGACTTTTCTGTTTGAAGAACATCCAGATACAGAGTATTAAATGTGTATTTTAGTAACACTATGAGTGAACTTATCCTGAAGATTATTGAAAGGAGCCCATATATTGCCATGATCTATGACCAGCTTCAGCAGTTCAGAAGGGACCTCGGAGAGGAGATGCCGCTTGTGCTCTGCTCTGTTCCTCTTGAGGGAGGCTAGACCTGTCTCAGCCGACAGCAGGTCCTTACAGGTTAATATGGGATGCCTCTCCCTTTTCCTGGCTCACTGCCCTCTGAGGCAATATGCTTTTGATAAGTGGATTCAAAATACTCTTCTTTTTACAGCCCGAAGGAATGGAGACATATATATTTGGATATATATAAATATATGCAAATATTAAAATATATTTCTATACAAATATGTATATATACAAATACATTATATATATTTTTTCATAATTTGTGGCCAGCAGGGGGCGATATTGCCAGCCACATCAGGCTGTGAGGACAGCATGTAGGATAGATGGACTCATTCATTGCTCTTTGGTCCATGTCCTCCATCTCCCCTGCTTATGAACAAGGCTGGGCTCTGTTGATCACTAGGCTCGTCCATAATCGGATGTTCAGTCATCATACCTGTGCTTACTTCCACCTGCCTTTGTATATATTTTTCAGAAATAGCATTTTTGTGTGTGTGTGAAGTGTTCCTTTTGCAGTTAGAGGTTACACATTGTAGCTGGAACAGAAGCCCATGCCCCTGGGCACCAACTTCCCTTTTCCATCCTTCTGAGTATTCTTCTGTTATCTCTTCCAATAACCAAAATATTCAAATACATTAACCAAGATGATGTTCTCCCCCTTTGTCAGAGGAGATGTTGCTTAGTTATACCTTTGTTTAAAATCTTGTGTGACTTTTCTAAAACATTAAATAATACTTGAAGATGAAAACTCCCACTCAGGGCTGAACATTCTGATATTGTAAGGTGCAGGGATCTTCACTGATATCCTGCTGAAGGATTCAGCTAGTTTTCATCCCTACACAAGCAACTCTTCATTCTGTCCAGGATTGTTTTCCTCTCTAGTGGCAAGCCTGTGTGTGTGGTTTTGTAATGGGTGATCTGTGGAAATTCCCTCAGCTTTTTGCTTCTTCAACACAGCTCTGTAGCATTTGGAGAGATTGGATCATGCCCACAAAATCTGTTTTTGTGCAATTCAGGATACATTGATCTTAGTTTCAGGGATTCTACTTTGTCATCTGGGTTGGAGATTTTTGTTATAGCAAGGAATAACACCCAAAATGGTTATGTTTTTGGTATGCTTTCAACTAGCAAAGTTGGCGTGATTATCATCATCCTCCAAAAAAAAATAAGCAGTCACTTTTTTTTTTGGTCTCATTATCTGTTACCTAGTTGACTATTAAACCCTTAGGAATGCAAATAGCATCCTAACTTGAGAGAGAGCTAGGGGAAGATGTCTTATAAAAATGCACTTCTCTCTATGGAAAAAATCACCTGCTCACTCACTAACCATTGCTTTTATCTACGAGGTGCTGCTGCAGGCAGAGCCGTGAACATTGCTTCCCCAGCATTAAGAGTGTGTTACCAATGAGCTCATGTCCAAAGAATTCAATCCCCATGCATGTTACCACACCGTATTCTGCTTTGACAGTCCTCATGCATGCAACTTAGGTTTGTTCTTGCAGACTACATGCTACTGGTCTTGGAAAAAAGCAAGTGGGAGAGTAAAGTTTGCTCAGATCTGTTCAGCTATTTCAAAAATAACCAAAAATACATGTTAGTTTTCAGGAAAGTCATTTGCAGAAGAGTTCTCAGGAAGACAAAGTGATAGTAAAGCTAGAATTCCTGCGTAGGTCATCTCGCTGTTCCTCAGACCCAGCATGCTTCATCTGTGCCTCCCTGCTTTTGCCACTCCTTACTCCTAACTCTCTCTAACCCCATTTTTCTCATCCATTAGATCTGTTTGTTCCATGAGACCTTTCTGATTCCACCATATCTTCTCTCATCTTCTCCACAGTCTCTATGCTCTTCTACCTGGTGCTCTTCCTTTTCAGTGTGTGTCTTCTGTATTTTGCCATGCCTGCAATTGGCATCTCAGCAGCTACACTACAGAGCACCCACTAGACCAGAAGCCTTTCCTTGATTCCCTTGCATTGTCTGGCACAGTGCTGCCTGGCCATGTGCTGTGGCAGGTATGTAGTAAACATCTTCTGGCCGATTATGCTTATTAAATTATGAATTATTGGATAGTGAGTAACATAAATAATAGACGGACTCAATATTTTTACCCCATAACAACTTTTTTTTGAGATTTAGTATTTGATCATTGGTAGGAATAGTGTAATGATATACATTCCTGGAAGAGAATTTTTCTTCAGTTATTATCTCTTCCTCTTAAAATAAGAACACCAAAGACTCTGTAGGAGGCCATTTGCTGCAGTCAGGAGAGTCAGTGGAAGATGAACTTCCTTAAGGAGATACATTGAGCACCCCCACTTTAATAATCCCGGTGACTCTGTTCAGAGAGGAACTCCCTCCTGTAGCCTAGGATTCAGCCCTTCAGCATTTTTGCATATTTAGAATGATGTCTTGGGAAAAATGCATCTCGCAGTGACACTTCAGTGACTCAGATGCTTTGTTTACAGAGAAATTAGGTTTGTCTTTAACACAGTTTGGTTTCATGCTCTTTGGAATTGTAGTCGCTTTCCAAAAACCATAATTGGCATTTGTATTGCTTTCTATCAAAATGGAATTATCAGAACAAAGTTTATGAAGTATGTGGATTCCACATGCTGTGAGATACAGACATCAGTTGTTTGTAGATTTGATCCTTGTCTGCTAAGTGTATTTAAATGACTTGGAAAATTAAAATAATATAAATTTCCAGATGCTGTCACTAGAGAATCTACTACAGTATAACTTCCATGCTTTGTTAGATTGTTTTTCCTCTATTTCCATTGACAACTATAGTCAATGTAGAGGTTATGAGTGAAGGCTTTGGAATCAGACAGCTTGGGTTTGAGTCCCGACTCTGTCATTTCTTACCTGTCTGGCCTACAGCAAACCTCAGTATCTCATCTGTAATATGGGGACAGGAATTTTTGCCTCCCAAGGTTAATGTGAGGGTTCAGTAACAACATGAATGTGAAAGATAACACAGTGGCACATTGTGGAGCACCTCAGTAAATGCTAGCCAGTCCCATTCTTATCACTACACTATTTCTATCTTGGCATGTTGTTTTCGTGCATCATTTTTCTGGTATGTTCGAGAGGTTAGAAAGTTTCAGAGAAGCATATAAAATCAAACTGAAATTGATGTAAACTGTTGCCTCTGAGTGGAAGCAAACAGGTCATTCAGAGTCATGAGTAGGATTCCCTGAGAGGTGATATGTTGGATTTCCACACCCGATTTCTAAATGACTTGTTTCACTGTTTAAATTACCTTTTTTCTCCAATTGCTTTGCAGCAGAGATAAAGATCTGTTTTAAATATTACCACGGCATTAGTGGGGCCCTGCGAGCCACAACCCCCTGCATCACCGTGAAGAACCCAGCTGTGATGGTGAGTGCCCCTTGCTGCCAGCTCCTTTTTGAGATCCATGCTGGGACTTGATTTCTGTTTTTGCCTCTGCAACCCTGACAGGGTTATCGGGAACATGAAAAAGGAAACACAACAGTGTGGGTGCTGTTACAGGAAAGGAAATAGCTTACAAGATTGGCATACCTGAATCCCTTATTCAAATCAGTGGAAACATAGGATTTGGTATGTAACAGCTGTTTGTAGAGTCCATTCTCCAGGGAGCCCATTCATGAAGCAAAGTAGCAAGTGCCCCATCTTGAAAGGTTTTAAACTTAGTCTGGGCGACCAGTTGGTAGGAAAGAGTGGCACTGGACCTTATGCGAATTTTAACCATTTAAACTGTGAGTGATTCTACCTGCCAGTAAACTCAGGAAGCTGTTGCTTGGAAGAGAATATAAGTTGGAAGTCACAAATGCACTGTTTCCTTAAGGTCTTAGTGCTGGTTCCTTCTCAATGCTGAGTTCGGGTCTAGTACCTAGAGATACTGTTCATATTTTGGAACTCAATGGAAGTCAATTTCTTTAACCTGAGAAGTTAGGCCCTCAGTTGAAGAAACAGATATCTAATTTATTTTTGTAGGAAACTCGTTTTGTTGGACTTTTGAAAGAAAACCTGCCCATTTCCAACATGGCAATTTTGTGATTTTGTTAAATTTTATTTTAGAATCTAATAGTCTCACAATACCCAACTCCACTGTATATGGGTGGTTAGACTCAGGTGGTTTGGGAGATTCTTAGAGTCCAAGATATGTAAATTACTTAGTTTTAATTAGTTATTGATAAAAATGAGGTCTTCAAGGCATACAAAAAATACTGATTCCATGACATAGAATCTTTACAACATTCCATGTGTGGGTATGTGTGTATACCCACATTTATAGATGCTTGCATTTTTGAAAATAGGCAAGTAGTCAGGTTGAAATTCAAAAAGCAGTCTTTGCAAATGGCACTTTGAAATTGTTCACACTCACCCTATGCTGTCTCTGATAGTGCTTGTACCTCTGTATCAAATAGTCTTTCCCTTTTATCTATTCATTTAAACAAATATTCATTCAATGTCTGCTAAGTACTAAGCATTGTTCCATCACTACAAATGAAATGATGAGGAAAACGTCATCATTGATTTCATAGGTCTGGTGTAGGAGAGAGACATCAATCAAATATTATATTTATTTGAGTGATAATTGTAAGAGGGAGAGCAAAAACAGGGGTAGCAGAACATGTTCTATGTAGTAGGATTTGTCCTGATCAGAAAATTCCTGAAGGCTTACCCGAAGAAGGTGTGTCCGAGAGACAATCTTAAGGATGAATAGGTGAAGAGGTTTTATAGATGAAGAGGGAGGGAAGAGCATTTCAGGCAGAGGGAATAGTATGTGCAAAATCCTCAACATCTAAGTACTCTGCTCACATTAGAAATATATGTGAGTTTCCATTGTAGTAAACATAGTATAGGACATAAAAGAAAAGCTTACATTTACTATATGAGACTTTGAAGGTCACAAAATGAATAGCAATTGTTGATTGCAGAATCTTCCATGTCACATAGTAAGCCCTGAAACAGACTTTAGTTAATATTGTAAAAAGAAAAGTTGCAAAACTAGAAGAGTGGGACTGTTTAAAATCTTCAAAAAATTTATTGTGTCTGAAATTAGACAATAACTTTTAAATATGATTAAGCATTTTCTGGATTTAGATTTTTTTACTTGAGCAATTTCAATATTCAGATATCATTAAAGGCAGTGGGAGTTTATCGTTTGTTGAACACTGATCTTATTCCATTGATTTTTGCATTGATATTGCTCTGTCAAGGCCTGTGGATAGTTTGGAGATAATTAATTTGCTTCAAACAGGTTTCACAGGATCTTAAAAGCTTCACAGATACAGCCCTGGCAATCAGAATAGTGTATTTTGGTTCAAAGACTGACTAATGCAATGGGTGGTTAATCGATTTCTGACCAAGCTTGAGACACTTTGGTTTATGTCCAACATTGAAAGGCTGTGCCTCATGGCACCTCATTTTGAGGATCAGAAACATTTATATGTTTCTCTAATAGCATGATGGTTACTTAGGTATATGACATATGTTTAGTTATTGTGACTGATTGACATCCTTGATACTTACAAATCTCACTTAGTACAATTATACCATGATCAGATACAAAGAATAGACCTGGAAGAAGTAACTTGGAAACTCCACATGGAAGAAAATAAGCTGTCATCCTAATCATATGATCTCTTTTCTTACATATCCTTTTGCAGTGCATCAAATATAAAAGAAAATTGTGACTTTTCTGTCATTAGTATTTTGATATATTCATCAGCGTACACAGTGATATGTGTCTCAGATACTTGGGACAGGAAATCCTTCGGCTTCAGGGACAAATTAAGGCTGCCGTTACTCACTACCGTGTATTGTTTCAACACTTGGTTGACAGTGTTGTTTCTGGGTTTTCCTGGAATGAATCTATGGAGTGAGTTTATTTTAAAGCCAGTCTCTAAACATTGAGCGCAGATGTGATCCTGGATGTCCCTATATCTAGTGGTACAGGGACTGTGCCTGGTCTTTCCTGGCTTTATTGTAATGAATGACAAAATTGAATTATTTGGATATTATTTCAGATGAGCATTTTGCCAGAGTTGTGCAGGACACTGTTTTTCTGTGAATTATTTGAGAATTGTTTCAGAGAAGCCTTTTGCTAGAGGGTGAATTACATTTGAAAAATGAGAATTAGAGGACATTTACTTTTGTTTCTCATGATTTCTTATAATTTTTTAAATAGGTTTTAAATGAAGACAGGTTATGAATTGTTTCAGCCTCATTTAACTCATTTAGCACAAGTATCCACAGCTGACCAAGATGTTGTGTTTTAAGGGGTGGCACATTTTACTGGGCTGTGGAGCCCATTTGTGAAGAGGCCACAGTTTCTGGGATGTCTTCCTGTGCCCAGGCACAGAAGGAGTGGCAGGTTGCCGAGGGTGCACCTCAGTCATAGTCCAGGGTAGTGTGTGGTGAAAGCAGGATGAGATGACCACAGCAGTTAGTTGTCTAGCCAGTGTACTGCTGCCTCTGCCCTATAGTAAATCTGGGAATGCTGAGTCAGAGTAGTACAATACAATGTAATAAACCACATGTGTCTATTGAGAGCCAACTCTATGATCAAGGAGTTGGATCTATATAGATGGAAGGAAATACAGATACCTGGATGGACCCTGGTGTGTTATAGAGGACATGTGAAGCAATCAGGATGCAGTTAAGTGGCACGCAAAATAGTTTGATTAAGGTGCAGGAGTTACAGTGGAGGCAGTAGAAATTTACATTTCAAAATTTGAATGGAATTTCTCAATTTTGCATGGATTAATGATGGCTTTTATCTCTTTGTAGTGTGTGATTTTTATAGAAGTGTGGGGAGTGCAGCAAAGATAAAATGGAGAAAGAGTTAAAACAAAAACAGACCTGGACAGTGGTTAAGTAGTAAAAGCAGATTCAAATCAGGAATTATTGCAATAGGAGGAAAGATAACTCCATATAGAATTGGCTCAGTTTGGCCAGGAACAAAGGCTCACACCTGTAATCCCAGCAGTGGATCACAAGGTCAGGAGTTCAAGGCCAATATGGTGAAACCCTGTCTCTACTAAAAATACAAAAATCAGCCAAGTGCCTTGGCACATGCCTGTAATCCCAGCTACTTGGGAGGCTGAGTCAGGAGAATCGCTTGAACTTGAGAGGCGGCGGTTGTAGTGAGCCGAGATTGTGCCACTGCACTCCAGCCTGGGTGACAAAGGAGACTCCATCTTAAAAAATAATAATAATAGTTGGCTCAATTCCAAATATAAGAAGGAAAACTGGGGGTTAATAGTCAAGGAGCAGGGTTAGAGTGAAGGGATTGGTGGATGGAAAATTACTAAGAGCTTAAGGGATTCTTGTTAAACTGACCTAACAAAATTCTTGCTGAAGGCAGGACAGAATGATCAGACATCACATGGAGGATGGTGGGTGATGAGAAATTGAATCGGATATCAAGGGTGGTCATATACTGAGGGTGGGGATTCTCCAAACTGTCATAGCAGGATTTTTGCTAAAACTGGACTCTATAAGGATGGAGATAGAAGCCCAAGGCCGGAATAGTTGAGCAGAGGGCTCAAAAGAGCCTGGCTGAAGTGTGTACAAGGAAAGAATCCTGTCAGAAGAGTTTAATCTAAACTTTAGAATTAAAACTTGGTTCTCTTTCCCACATTTGGGTATATTTTGCCTTCACTTCTGTCTCTTACAGTATTGTGGACTTCTTTTGCAGAATATTATGAAGGTTTTTCTTCCAGATGTACCACAAATTGTGCACTAATTGTACATAAATTGAGAGAATGGTCTAAATTTGCTAGGTGGTTTATAAATTACTGGCTTCTTGTGAGGTATAATTTACTCAAAAGCTTTTAGGAAAAGGTTATCAGCATAATAGCACTGCAAATTATTATTGCTAATTATAATAGCGTGTGCCATGTACCTGCAGCACAATAGAACACAAGCTTACAAGGGAGGTAGGACTCCATGTGGATTTTCAGAAATACCTGACGAGAGAATTCTATACGTATGGATAAGTCTGATATAAATCAACTGTTTCATTTATTCTAGGTTTCCCTAACAAATCTGAAGGAATTTGATATTTAACTAGAAGGAATATTTAATATAGTAATTGTACTATATTTACTACAAATCAACTATATTCTTATCAAAGGGCAAAAAGGATATAAAGTAATTTGATTCATAGTTATTGGGAATTTTGAAGCTTACATATTTTTTATTTGGGGTTAAGTTTACATTTTAATCTTTCCTTCAAGAATCAGCATTTGTGTCTCTGTTCCAAGATTGGGAAATGAAAAGACACATGATACAGTACATGTTTGATGCAAAAAACATTATATTTGTGAACATACATGGTTTCCTAGATAGATCCGGTGGCATCACACTGCTCTGAAACCTCAGACACATGTTTTTTCTCTTCAGATGGGGGCAGAAGGCATGGAGGGAGGTGCTTCAGGAAACCTGCATTCTCGGAAACTCGTTAGCTTTACACTGTCAGGTAAGAATGTCTTTAAATGTGACATCCAGTCTGAAAGTGCACGGTTTCAAAGGTATGAGTAGTCACTTCTTTCTACAGACTTTCGTAGAGGATATGATGATATGTGAACTAGTTTTTTGGGGGGTCATACTTCTGAAAATTCAGGTATATCTCTTATGATGATACAATTAATTATTAATATAAATTCAGAAATTATTTCCTCTACCAAATTATCTGGTGATAGACAGTGTATATAAATATGCATAGTTACTTTAAAAAAAACTGTAATGTAACATGTGCTAACGCCACTGAGGAGCTTTATTATTGAAAATAATTTATTCTTACTTCAGCTACAGAAAGGAAAAATTTGAAGACTGGGAGGGGAAAAAGCCAATATACTTCTTTATCTGTGAAGGAATACAAATAAAAATTGAAAAGTGGATAAGCCAATTATTTTGGGGTTGTCTTCTGACTAGCAAACTGTTCAAATTACTTGTATGTTTACCATACAAGTAAAGCACTGTTTTTCAAGGTATAAGACAGGACTCATTTGCAGTTTGTAAGTTTGATTTAGTTATATCAGTAATTTTAAAAAAATGAATAATGTCAGAGTTTACCACTAAAAGGATTTTTTTTTGATAAAGCATCAGTTTATACAAACTGAAAATCTTTATATAAAATAATATACATGCTTATATTTGTGTACACTAGGTTGCAATGTAAAATGTATTTCATAAATAGGACACTGTCAAAAAAGTTTGAAAGGCACTGATTTTAGAAAATGAATTGGTAGTCGTAAAGTCAAGAATACTCTAAGAAAATCCATATATGAAATAGACTTTTAAAAGAGATGACTGTGCTATAATACATAGAAAATGAAGTCTAATGGATCTCCGTCACTGGAAGATGTTTTGTTTTTATTTTTCTGTAGTTGTAGTACTTCCAAAATTTAAATTAGATCCACTTTTCTTGACTGAAAAAGAAAGACATTGTAAGTGAAAATAGAGGTTCTCAAGAGTGAGAGTTAGAAGACCTGATCCTGAAACAGACACTTCCACAATGCATAATTACCACATATGACTAAAACATACACATCAGTTCATTGCTGGCCCATGGCCTTCTGAGTATCTATGTTTGGTTTTGCAAGTTTCTCCTTTCCCCTGCGTTTTTACTTTGCTTCTCTGGTGAATCTCAGCAGTTGTAAACCAGTACTTATGAATCAAATTTGGCCAATAAATATGTTTTGTTTGAAACCTTCGGGGTTTAAAAAATATCTAGGTTTTTAGAAGGGCACTAAAAATAACCAGTCCCTGTGGTACTATGTCCCTACCCCCTCATCCGCCTGTTTCCGAAAAACATTTTGGCTGTACACCTGTGCTTTGAACCTTCACAGTACTGAGGGTCTGAAGCTACTGAAATGCCTGGTGACAGGCAGGAAACGATTTGTCAACCCCAATAGCTAAGAAAATTTAGAGTATTACCACACCACAGTTTTCTTGGTTTTGTTTTTTTAATTGAGAGGTAAAAATTGTTTATTTTTATGGTGTACAGCATGATGTTGTAATATAAACCATTGGTTTCTTAGTTTAAAATTATTACCCTATGCTTTTAGGTGATTCGTATCATTCTAAGCATGACACAGACATACTGATTTTGACTCCAGATGGGATGTTATTAACTATGTGAGAATGACCATCTGTAAGTTAAAATTCCTAGGCCATTTTCCTAAAAAGTAGGAAATAAGCCTTGAGGCACAGCCAAATGCTCCTTCCTTACACCTTTCTTCCAACATCGCACCTCTATTCACGTGGAGGCTAGCTACCTAACATCTGTTTTATTTCTTAACATATAGCCTGACATTTGCAGACAGTGTGCAGAAATGACTAGGAACTGAAACCAGTTCTATAATGTTAATTCTAAAAAATTAACTGGTTGTAGCATACTAACAGGGAATGATAATATTTGTCTGAGAGCATTTAAGCACTGTAGAATGACTGCCTACAAATGTTCCACTCCTGTTATTATGAATAAGTAGGGGCACAAATAATTGAATTTTACAGCTAAAATTGAAAATATATTTTGATTAATATTTTAAACATACTCCAAATAAGGCTTTATTTAGGATGTTTAACACATCATACCTTTGTGACTTTGAGTCCTTCTTTGGCCTATTATATGGTGTGGATATTTGTGAGCAATAGGATATGTAAAAGACAAGAAAAGATCAGAAATGAGATGGATAAAGGGAACCAAATAATCAGATTATAAATAATTGGTAGTGTATTGTATTTATTAAAGAAGATTTCTTTGTACAGTGTCCCATTGTGGGAAGTTTAGTATCGGGCTTATCTAACAGTGATATTGTTTACCACAGTGACTTAATCTTCTGGTGGAATGCTTTTTGTTCAAAGGAATTTTTTTTTGTGTGAGTGATTTAGCTCTGTCAGACTTTGTGGCGTTCATTTCTATGTTACTCTTCACTTGCTACAGAGAAATCCCTTTTGGGGGCATATAGTTAATATATAAAGAATATCATTCTTCTGTCTGAGTTCAAGGGGAATATAATCAAGAAAGAAAAGAAAATAAATGTGGCAATTGCATTTTCTTCTCAGAGCTGCTCCCTGCTGAAGAAAATCAAGTGAAAATATGTAGCATCATTAAATTGACAGTAAGATGCAAATTCTGCATTTAATAATGACTACATACTTTATGAAGTGTCAGGAATGGGGACTGCAAGGCTAATAAGATTACGGCAGCTTCTCTGAAGTGCCTGTCTAGTTATTTACCTGTCTTTTCCTTCTCCCACTGGTTTTCAAATCAAAGATCTTGCTAGATATTCCATGCAGTGTTCTCAATGTGTGGCAGCTCATGCCTGTAATCCCAGAACTTTGGGAGGCCGAAGCAGGCAGATCATGAGGTCAGGAGATCGAGATTATTCTAGCCAACACGGTGAAACCCCATCTCTACTAAAAATATAAAAATTAGCTGGGTGTGGTGGCGTGTGCCTGTAATCCCAGCTACTCGGGAAGCTGAGGCAAAGAATCTCTTGAACCCAGGAGGCGGAGGTTGCAGTGAACCAAAATCATGCTACTGCACTTCAGCCTGGCAACAGATTGAGACTCGGTCTCAAAACAAACAAACAAAACATGCTCTTGGTTGAATTTTTAACTATTTGCAGATATATCAAACTTCCCCCCTTTACTGCCAGGTATGTGTCATCAGACATTTCTGGAGTGTTTTCAGCACATGTACCTGGGCCATGAGTTCTTGTGGGCCACTGGTGAGTCACCTCCTGGGAGCACTCTTTCGAGAATATTGCTCTATGGGCAACTTCAGGCCAATTCTATTTTTCTAAGAAAGACCTTATGTTTCAGGAATAGGCTTATATGGGATGACCCTGGTGACTTCCTGTAATTTAGGGTCACTATCCAGGGTCTGTTTGCCAGCTGATCTGGGTAATCCAAAGGTCTTTGGAGGTTCAGGGACTGTATGCAGAATGGCTTTCTGAACCATAGTGTTTAGAATGTCCCTGGATTGATCTTCCAGCATTTTCAAAGATGACTTAGCTCTCAGACCTATCTTATTCAAGCTGATATTCTCAGAAAATGTTGCAGACTCAATGGAGCCAGCTTTATTTCCTAACATGTTTGTGTCTCTTAGCCTGACCATGGAAAAACATATCAATCTTCACACTGAAATGGACTTTGGCTAGGACTTTTAGCAGCTCATACAGTGTGAAACAGCAATTTGTGAATCTAAGATGAGTTATAGGACATTCATCAAATATTTAAATTACTTTACTGGCTATTTAAAATAGCAGGTAGCACTCACATTTCAGAAAACATTTTCCCTAACATTCATCACATTTATGGAATGTATATGACATTTAAATGTAGTACAAATAAATATATGTGCTGATGTTTCATCTCCAATTAAACTTAGTTCTATGTATATGTAGAAGATTCATTTTTCTCTCATGAAGGAACATGTGTTTCAGTGAGCTGCTTACTAAGTATTTCGCTCAAGATGTTGTCTGAAATTCTGGTTGCCGAATTACGTTGCCCTAGGATAAAGATGGTGAAGTTGCACATGTTGGAATCCAAGGAATTCCCAGGAAAAGTCAGTTTAGAGAATGTGAGGTGGTGCTAAAGGTTTGGCTTCACTTTTGCTCCCTGTTAGGAGACCCCTCTGCTGGAATTAGTGCCATAAGCCATTTGTTTTCACTTACCTAAGCAACCATAGTGTGAATAACTGCTATTGTGTTATTGAATCGTTTTTGTTTAGAGCTTCCTGTGTTTAAGAACAAATTGTCTTTGAGTTGCTTATTCTAATCAGAATATATGTATCCTTCCTTCTTCTGTCCCTTCCTCCTTCCTCCTTCTTTTCCTCCTTCCCTCATGCTCTCTCTTCGTTCCTCCCTCCTTTTCCCTTTCTTTAAAGATCTTAGGGCAGTTGGGCTAAAGAAAGGGATGTTCTTCAATCCTGACCCCTATCTTAAGATGTCAATTCAGCCAGGGAAGAAGAGCAGTTTCCCCACCTGTGCCCACCATGGGCAGGAGAGACGGTCTACTATCATCAGTAACACCACTAATCCAATTTGGCACCGAGAGGTAAGATGATCCTCAGGGGTCTCCTACTTGACAGTGAGGAAGTCAGCCCAGTCTCTCTAGTTCTTGGGACTCTCGCATCCTAAGGTTGTTTATGAAGTGTCTAGGGGTTCTCTTGGGAAAGGGGTACAATGCAAATGAGCTATTCCCGTCTCTCCAGAGCCAGGTCTAGAGTAAGACAAATGAAGCTCTCACTTCAGGGGAACAATTTAAGGAGCCTCCAAAAAAACTCAGTTGTTAAATATCTTAATGCGTTTTTGTTTAAACTATCAATGTGAAAAATTCATGATGAATAAAATGTGAAAATTTTAAATAAGGACAAGATCAGTAACATTGCCTTGTAGAGTCATAGTGGGGCGTGAGGCAAGAGGAATCAGCAATACTGATCTTGTTTTGATTTAAAATTTTGATATTTTGTTGTAGCAAACATTTAGTACAAATTAAAGGAATTTCTCTCTTTACGGGCTTTGGCAAATGTTTTATGAATTTCTAGATTTTTGTTAATTAGTTGAGCCATTCAAGGAGTCATCATCCTGAGTGAAGCCAGATTGTGTTGATGGTATTTTAGACTTTCGCACAGCTACAGTATGCTACCAGTCATCTTAGTGCACCATATCAATAAAATCAAGCAAAGGGTTTTCTCATTTGAACTATGGAAAGTCGAAGAATGAACAGACACTTCTTATCTAATGAGCAAAGCTTGAGCTCTCCCTCCATTTCTCAGAGATCTGAGTTATGTTTTACATAAGTAATGTGAGAATGTTTCTGGGCTGGCATAGGAGTTACACAGTTAATTAGATCATGCCCTAAATATTTAATGACAACAATATGTTCTAACAATGTTGTAGAAATATTTACTTGGAGAGAGGTATTTCAGGGGATCTAAAACCAATTGGAGAAAAGATATCGTTATTTGAGACTTGCCAACCCTGTCAGGCATTTCTCGGGGGCGGTTCCTGTGGTTTTGGAGATGACGAATGATTGGTGCTTGTATTCTTATACTTGGTTTAAAAACTACTAATGATCTCATCATGGTAAAAAAAACAAAAAACCTCTTAAGGGCATGCCACTTAGTCTAACACATTTCAAAGCCTAGAAGACATAAAAATATATCTCAATATGATTCTAGAAGGTGCATGATAGATATGATAATGAAACAGGCAGTAACTATTTTCCTAACATTCTTAATTTGCAAAGTTTTTGACCATGTCACCAGTGCAAGCCTGAAAGGGAGGCACAGAGGATGAGATCATCATATCTTCATTTTGGTGTTTAAGAAATTGAAGCGTAAAGTGTTTATGGGACTAACTATTCAGAGACAGAAGTGGGGCTTTAACTCCGCTTTTTTATTTTAAGCAAGTACCTTTTTCCATTAAGCAGACTGCCAAATTGCAAGGCCCTTTGGAAAACCTTAATTGTTATGACGAGATAAACCTGAAGGCACCCAAGTGAAAAGTTGGCTAACACTATTCCCATCATTATAGTTGCATGGATACTGTCAGGGAAGCAGTGAAGTGATTTAGGTTAGATTCCTGGCTCCATCATTTACTTATCCTGAGATTCTCATCCTTAAACAGAAAATTATATTGTTCTAAAGATAAAGTGAAGATTTATATATGTAAAAGTCTATGTAAATAAAACTCTTCTTATTTTATGTCCTTATTAATGTCCAATCAAAATTTCTCCAGTGGCATTCTTTTTTTTTTTTTTGAGATGGAGTTTCGCTCTTGTTACCCAGGCTGGAGTGCAATGGCGCGATCTCGGCTCACCGCAACCTCCGCCTCCTGGGTTCAGGCAATTCTCCTGCCTCAGCCTCCTGAGTAGCTGGGATTACAGGCATGCGCCACCATGCCCAGCTAATTTTTTGTATCTTTAGTAGAGAGGGGGTTTCACCATGTTGACCAGGATGGTCTCGATCTCTCGACCTCATGATCCACCCGCCTCGGCCTCCCAAAGTGCTGGGATTACAGGCTTGAGCCACCGCGCCCGGCCTCCAGTGGCATTCTTAAAATGAAAACCACAAAACCTATCTTAACCTCATACTTTTATTTTTCTGTCCCAGAATAAATGACCCTGTATGCCTTATAAACTTAAGTAAAAATTCCATTTGAACATTGTTTTAATATTTATCAGGGAAACCACAATATTCTGCAGATGTTCCTATTTTAACCACTAAGTGGAGGAGTATTTTCAACCATGTTTTACAACTTCAGAATTTCATGAGATGAGGGTTTCAAATTGTCAATCAAATATACTAGTTAATTCTAAACCATTCTATAACAAGATATTAAATATCAAAGAATTGAGATACAATACATGTAGGGAGTACTAAAATTGCATTGTGCATAACTGAATATTTGATTAACATCTCCTAAAACTGTTAAACTAGGAAAGGCTGTGTGATTGACTGATAGGGCTTCTTTTGTCGTACAGATCCTTGACTGATGCTTTTTAATCGTGGTGAATGCTAATGATTCTGAGTGAATAAAGGATTGACAATAGCTGCAGCTGTTTCTAGCTTTGTGGAACTCTATGTTGTTAGAATTTAAGAGATATAATTTCCTATACAAATAAAATGATATAGTATTGTATTTGTCTTTCTTTTGAACCAGCATGTTATCTGTTTGTGTTTTCAGAAATATTCCTTTTTTGCACTTCTTACTGATGTCTTAGAAATTGAAATTAAAGACAAATTTGCCAAGAGCCGTCCCATCATCAAGCGTTTTCTGGGGAAACTAACCATTCCAGTCCAGAGGCTGCTGGAGCGACAAGCCATCGGGTAATCAGCCCTTACCTTTGGGGATCTTGTTGGGATTAGTTCATAGAGGAAAATATGGAGTGAATCTTGGTAGTCCTAGCACTTTTCATATTGATTAGAAGTAGTGACACAATTCTTTTTAAAATAAAAACATCATTACACTTAAAAATATATACTTGACAAAAAGTAGTTTGTTTTAATTATATATATTTTTTGCATCTTTATCTTTTCCAAGATGTAACCACCATTAACATTTCAGTGTCAAATCTCAGAGTATTTCATTGTTTCTCAGGATATTGAAGTTTTTTTTTTTTAATAAAATCTCCCTAGAGCAGAATTCTGGGGTCAGGTTGATGCCTACTTTATCCTAATTAATTCCATCCAGAGAACTTGTTATTCTTGAAAAACAGAAACAATCTTGTTTTGGAGCCATAAAAAACAAGAACTAGACTTGAGGAAGTGTTATTACCAAGCTCCTAGATATATACATTCATTCAAACAACTAAAATGTATTCATTGACATACTCAAAATTTAATGGGTAATGTCTCTTGTGAGCTTTTTGTAAGTTGTGAGTAAAGTAGTAAGAAGTCATACCGAGGAGATAGAGAACAAAAACAAGTTATGCCAATTAATGATGCGTAGCTGACTAGAGGCTCTAAACTGTACAGTGCAGCAAACAATGGATAGAAACATTGTGTCTTCCTTCTGAAATAGCCATTAGAGGGCAGTGTGAGAGCAGAGGTGGAATGATTTGGCTCTATCCTTTTTTCTTAATTAAGAATAAGTTGGCTGGGCACGGGGACTCAGGCCTGTAACTCCCAACATTTACGAGGCTGAGGTGGTGGATCACCTGAGGTCAGAGTTTGAGACTAACCTGGCTAACATGGCAAAACTCTGTCTCTACTAAAAATACAAAAAGTTAGCTGGGCATGGTGGCAGGCGCCTGTAGTCCCAGCTACTCAGGAGGCTGAGGCAGGAGAATTGCTTGAACCTGGGAGGCAAGGTTTCAGTGAGCCGAGATCACGCCATTGCACTCTGGCCTGGGCAACAGAGGGAGACTCTGTCTCCGAATTAGTCATTTAATTCAGAATAAGATTGTTGCTGTGTGCAAGAAAATGAAATGATTGCATTTGACTTTGATACAAAGGCTTGAAACAGATGGACAACTCCATCCTTGAGGAGGCCGGCAGCTCGAGCCTGGGGCCCAGGCAGGGCAAAAACTGAGCCTGCTTCTAGATCTGGGACATAACCCCACCACAGTGGCACATCTGGCTCTGCCAACCACCCCATAAGCACTGCTCATAAGGCACCCTGAGAATCAGTGAAAGGCCAGGCTCCCCAGCAGGGAGAGCCAGCAGCTCCAGCCTCCTTACTCTATAGGTGAGGAAGCAGAGTTTAGTGGCCCCCTCCCCATCACATAGCCAGGGCTGCTGTCTTGGGTATGAAGGGCCCTTTTGTTCTTGTGTTCTTGTGCTTCTCTCTCCTAACTCCCAGCTCCTGTTCTTCAGGATGTTGCACAGTGTCCTGTGTGCGATGTTGGGTGATAATCCGTAGCTGTGAGCGTCCTTTTAGAACCAACTTCCTGTTGTACTAAATGCTGAGGAACCAGACCCTCTCCCCTTTTGCACCCGAGTCAAAAAACCCCTATAACTTGAGGCCTTTCACAGCTCCTTTATGACCTTCAAAATCTCCTTCTTCTGATCTCCCTTTGCAGTGACAGAATCAGTGTCCTTAAAAATATCACATAGCGTATGATATCTCGTGCTCCTAATAATATTTTTTCTTGCAGCAATAGTTCCTTTTTTCCTTGGGTTTATAAATGTTCCATTTGTGTGAATGAATAATATTACATTGGACTATAATGTGCCTTGAACCTTTAATGTTCTTGTGAGTCAGAAAGTTTTAAGAGAGATATGAGGGATTTGGGGGGTGGCCTGTGGAAAGAAAGCGAAGGCTGACTCCAGTGTAGTCAGGATGAAAGAAGCATTTCTCTTCTTGCAGTGATCAAATGCTCAGCTACAACCTTGGCAGAAGGCTCCCAGCTGACCATGTGAGTGGGTACCTCCAATTTAAAGTGGAGGTTACATCTTCTGTTCATGAAGGTGAGATATAAATATATTTGCATGAATACACTGCTATACGTGTTAGACCTAACTCAATTATCAGTTTGCTTCTGAACAGAATTGAATTAGTGTCCTGTTATGAAAGTAAAACAGCTGTCAAATAGTTACCTGTTGAAAATTTCTAAGCAAGTAGGAAAGCCTGTTTTGCCCAAAAATGTCTCTTAGATTGATGCCTGCATTTTGAAACTGGGGCGTAGAATTTTGAGCCGTATTAACTTATATAGCTCCTGTGCCAAACTGACTAGCAGTCTCCTTGTTTAGTAGTGAGTGGTGAATCTTAGCAAGCCAATAGAGAGCCCTCAGTGGAATGACTGAATTTTTTTAACTTATTGGTGGCAAAGCAAATAGTTCATAAAACGTTCATTTGTTATTTCTAGTTCATTTTTAGAAATGCTGTTTTCTCATTCAGATGCCTCTCCAGAAGCTGTTGGCACAATGCTTGGAGTCAATTCTGTGAATGGAGACTTAGGTAGCCCTTCTGATGATGAGGACATGCCAGGGAGCCATCATGACAGCCAGGTGTGCACTAATGGGCCAGTTTCTGAGGACAGTGCTGCCGATGGGACCCCCAAGCATTCATTCAGGACTAGCTCTACTCTGGAAATAGACACAGAGGAATTAACCTCTACTTCTTCAAGGACCTCACCTCCCAGAGGACGTCAGGATTCACTCAATGATTACTTAGATGCTGTCGAACACAATGGCCACTCCAGGCCGGGGACAGCCACCTGCTCTGAGAGGTCCATGGGTGCCTCTCCGAAACTGAGGAGTAGTTTCCCCACCGACACAAGACTCAATGCCATGCTTCATATTGACTCAGATGAAGAAGATCATGAGTTACAGCAAGACCTGGGTTACCCATCTTCCCTGGAGGAGGAGGGAGGCCTGATCATGTTTAGCAGGGCATCCAGAGCCGATGATGGAAGCCTGCACTCTCAGACAAAGCCAGAGGACAACCCCGTTGAGAATGGGGAAGGCTCCTCACATGAAGCCACTTCCTTTGAGGATAAGCCAGAAAATCTTCCAGAGCTTGCAGAGAGCTCCTTACCTGCAGGCCCAGTCCCAGAGGAAGGTGAAGGTGGCCCAGAGTCTCAACCCAGTGCTGACCAGGGCAGTGCTGAATTGTGTGGCTCTCAAGAGGCAGATCAGCCCACAAGTAGGGCAGACACGGGGACTTCTGATGCATCGGGAGGAAGCCGAAGAGCTGTCAGTGAGACCGAGTCTCTTGATCAGGGCTCTGAGCCTTCCCAGGTGTCCTCTGAAACAGAACCCAGTGATCCTGCCAGGACAGAGAGTGTGAGTGAAGCCAGCACCAGGCCCGAGGGAGAGAGTGACCTGGAATGTGCGGACAGCTCCTGCAATGAGAGTGTGACCACGCAGCTGTCCTCTGTTGAGACGCGGTGCTCCTCTCTTGAGAGCGCACGGTTTCCTGAAACCCCAGCCTTTTCTTCTCAGGAGGAGGAAGATGCAGCCTGTGCAGCAGAGCCCACCAGCAGCGGCCCTGCCGAAGGGTCGCAGGATTCCGTGTGCACTGCTGGTTCTTTACCTGTGGTACAGGTGCCCAGTGGGGAGGAGGAAGGGCCAGGGACAGAATCGGCCACGGTACCTGACCAGGAGCTGGGGGAGGTCTGGCAGCGGAGGGGGAGCCTGGAGGGAGCCACAGCTGCTGCTGAGAGCCCACTCCAAGAAGAGGGCAGTGCTGGGGAGGCTCAAGGTACCTGTGAAGGGGCGACTGCCCAGGAGGATGGCGCTACTGGAGGTAGGATGTGGATACCACTGTGGCTCTTGGCTTGATCATAGCTGTGCAGAGAGAAGTTCTGTAGTTTTCCCCTCAATGTAAATAAGGCCGCAGGTTGCTTATTACCTGAATTCCTCACCTTGAGCTTCAACAGGGGAAGAGAGGCAAGATTGAAAATAGGGCCAGGAAGAGAAGGAAACAGGTAACAAATGTGTGGCAGCTGAAGCCCTTCCTCTAGATTAGGCCTCCTGTTTCAGAGTGGGGAGGCCGAGGGACTTATCACATAGCAAGGAAGAAGGCACATGATTTACATCCAGATGGCTTGAGTTCAAATTCAGCGCTCTTTTAAAAACTGGATCGTCTATTGCTGAAGCAAGAGGCCTATTAAACAGTAGTCTTCAAACAAATAATGTGTCTCTATTGGGACCTGGGTTTGTAGATACACAACCCAACAGGCGGGTAGCTTCAACCTTAGTGTAATCCTCAAAGGTATGAGAGACACCTAGTCACTCCCTTTTTCTAAAATTTCACAGTGAAGGATAAATGTATGCTATGCATCAAAGGTAATATTTTTGTCTTCTACAGTTTAGGAATGTCAACTAAGTTAGGTGATGCATTCTGATTTGAAGAATGAGCTGTTTTTGTAAGCAAGGATACACATTTACATCTGCAGTTTGTATTACACTCAGTGAATGCAGCTCTCTTGAATGATTTCTATAAAATGCCCTGTGAGGATGTATTAAAAATCAAAGAGCAATTTCATATATCTAGCTGGCATAACTCAGAAATAGGAATGATTTTCTTCTGTAATTTATTTTTCTACCTACATTATCCCCTTCTCTTCTTCCTCCTCCTTTTTTTCTTTTTCCTTTATTATATTGTAGCCACCATGTGACCCTAAAGCATTAGTGCATGACCAGGACAAAGGCCACTGTGGCTGAGGGATGAGGAAGGGGAAGTTGCAGGAGGGGAGGGGTACAAGCAGAAGACAGTTCTTCAGGAAGCCCGCCTCTAAGCATCCACCTCCTATTTATTCTCTTCTTTTGTTTCTACCTTCTCATATTGGAAATGAGACTAAACAGAGAAAAGAAACTAGAACTGGGATATATGTTAGGTTTTTAAAAATTTTTTATAAAGTCTGTTTTGAAACTGAAAGAGAAAACAATACCTGGTAACTTTCTACCTTTAATCCTAGGTTCTCACCAACCACTGCGATCACTACCTTCAGTGCGCCAGGATGTTAGCCGCTACCAGAGGGTGGATGAGGCTCTCCCACCAAGTGAGCACCTGTTAGTTAAAAAGGGCCCACCTTAATCAAAGGGTGCAAGGTGACAGGCAGACCCTTTCCATGAGTCTTAAAAGATGGATACATGGTCTTCAAGCGGAAGGAATCTGGGTGCTGCCACTTGGCCCAGCAGGTGTAGTCTGAGAAGTGCCAGGCCAGCAACTCTTCTCTGGCACCATTCTGCTGAAAGAAAGGGCAGCTGTAAATCCTGCACTGCCTGTGGGGTAAACATTATAACATGGAGATAGACCAAGATATTTTCAAAAATTGGGTGCATAATAGAATTTTTTTAAATTATGCCTAACCACAGCATGAATGTTCTTTCAGCTAATAGAAAAATTGGTACGCTCTCTTAGGAAAAGCTTCACTCTACGTAATATACTGCCTTTTTGTTCACTTACAGCATTTAAAATCATTAAGCACAAGGTTCTAATATTTTTTAGGGATATGCAGAGAAGGGTTACTAATTTCAGAAATTAGTCTCCTACTTATTTGGGACATGACAATTATCTGGGGATTTGAAAGACATTTTATTTATTTTGCTTTCAGAAAACACTTAAAGGAGTGATGGTGGAGGATTAGGGATGCTGGGATATAGTTACATAACCTTTATTCAATGGTATGAGTGATACCCCTGGCCAGTCATAATCCAGATGAAATGTAAACTCTATTTAAATTTCTAGAATTCTTTAAAGAGATATAGCTCTGTAAGAGCAATGGATTTTGATGAATATTGGTAAAGCCTGGTAAACATTGTTATTAAAAATACATTGGAAGGTGCACCCTGTTGTCTTACCTCTTTCTCTTCTTGCTCACCCCCTCCACTTGCCCATCTTACATATGATTATGACAAGAAGCTAATGCCTTGGCTTCTCTGTGTTTTAAAAATGGTGGGACATAAGTGGGGTGTGGTGGCACACACCTGTAATCCCAGCACTTTGGGAGGCCAAGGTGGGCAGATAACCTGAAGTCGGGAGTTCAAGACCAGCCTGGCCAACATGGTGAAATCCCATCTCTGCTAAAGGGCACAAAAAATTAGCTGGGTGACATGGTGTGTACCTGTAATCCCAGCTACTCAGGAGGCTGAGGCAGGAGAATCACTTGAATCCAGGAGGTAGAAGTTGAGGTGAGCTGAGATGGTGCCATTGCACTCCAGCCTGGGCAACAAGAGTGTAACTCTGTCTCAAAAAAAAAAAAAAAAATAGTGGGTTATAAAGAAGGGAGGGAACGAATTTAAAGGACTAAAATTCTGAGTGGTTGTCTGGCAAGTACTGACAAAAGACCTGAATGGTACTATGGAGAGTTTATCAAAATATCAGCTTAATCCTTTTGAAATTCTTTTGGGCACAAATCCTTCCTTCCCTTGTTTGTATATTTGGATAACTGAGGGCTGTGACTCATAGAAAACATATTTTAAGCAGTTTAAAATAAAATAGACTGAGAGATTAATTAACCTTGTGTTATCTTAAGCAGGTACAGGGTCCCAGGGACTGAAGAGGGGCACAGAAAACTTCCTTATTGATAAAACAATTGGTAAAGCCTTTGAGAAAAGATGAGTCAAAAAAGGGAAAATGTTCCTGGAAGATATTTAGGTATAATTGGAGCAAAACAAATTCAGAACACTAGGAGAGAGTTCTGGGAGAACTTCATTTTTATGTGCATACAGATTCATAGTCATTTAGAGTTTCAGGGGGTTGACAGGAGCATTGCAGAAGTGCATTGATAAATGGCTTTTTCTTAGCCACATCCAATTGCTGTAATTTTTCCTGTATATAAGTGTGGTCTCCTGATTGTATTTAATAAAGACAGGTACAGTCCTGCTGAAATTATGATCACTATTTGGGATATCTCAATATATTGTTTAAATACTGGTGTTTGCATTACACCTGTAGAATACATCTTAGGAATTTTTTTTTTACAATTGGCAGTTCATTTTAATGAGCTGATATATTTGCAAAAGTAAAGGAAACTTTGTGACCCATCCTATTTAATCAGTGAGTGACAAACGAGGAAAATTCTTAAGATGTGTTCCCTCTAATTCAGAAGTTTTCAGTGGTGGCAGAGGATGCCACCTACTAGGCAATGTTTAGAGCTGAGGTGGAGTGGCCTTTCAGTATAACAGTGTTTGAAGGGTGCCACTGGCATTTAGTTGGTAGGGGCCAGTGTATCAAATGTCCTACAGTGGTGAAACAGTCAGATACAACTAAAGAATTGTCCCACCCCGAATTGTGCCCTCTAAGAAACATTTCTCTGTACTAATTTGTTTAATACTTGGTAAATAATATTTTTTAAAAATATAAACAGAATTTTTATATTTTAAAAACTCAGAAATGAAGTTGACTACCTCTAAAAATGTAAATTATGCACACACGCACACACACACATTTATACACTCGTGCTATAGCAACTTGCAAATTTGGGGATGTATATTTTCATGGGTAGGCTATGGATTATGGTCTGGGCATGCCTGGTCACTGTTCAGCTCTGTCTCCCATTCCCATGTGTGTCTCATCCTATGACAGTGTTTAATCACTTGGCTGCCCTGGCTAGTTGTCTGTCCTTACCCTGCCTGGGACCCTCCTGTCCTTTTCTAACTGGACAACTCTGCTACCACACCTGGCCATGCGTCTGACTTACATCTGTGGCATCTACACTCTGTGGTGTCCTGTGCTTTCTGAGGCTCATCTAGGGGTGACTGGCTGGAGCATACAGATTGGTTCATCTCTTAAATGACCTCACTGAATTATTTTAAGGCTAACAGTTGTGATTTTTTAACACTATTAGTTATCATAACTTCATTTTTGTGATGCTTTACACTTTACAAAGCACTTTTGCATGCTTTCCTTTATTTTTTGTTCTTTCAATAATTTTGCAAGGTAGGTGAAGCAGATCTTGTCCATAATTTGTAGGTTGTTGCATAGAAGTCGGCTAATCTGATTCTATAATTGCAGAAACTGAAGCCAAGATAAATTAAGTAATTTGTTTAAGATCCCATGCAAGTAAAAGTTGAGACAGACTCTCCAATATTCCCTCTCCTGTATCAGGTATTCTGATCTGAGATAGGAAGGGAAGGCCTATTTTGTGGGCAGATGCATGTGAATTCTGAAAGTCTGGTTTGAGGCAGAGAGTCCTTACATGGTGATATATGTTTTTTGGGCACCAGCAATGCCGCATTTCAGAGGATTTGGGGGTTTTGCTGAAACTTCAATATATTACAGTGCTTTGAGGTCAGACACCCCCAGGAAGACTCAAAAAGTCTGCTCAGCTTTCTCTTCTTCTGGGTTAGAGTTATGCAAGGAGGCCCTCCCCCAGGAGGCCCCTCACCTATTAGGAAAATGGCTGCAGTGGTTTTAGCCAACATCATGTGTGCCAGACAGATGTGCTGTATTCAGTATCTGTATCAGACTCAGCAGTACCTTTCCTCTCTGTGCAGGTCACTCTTCTTCTACCCTAGGGACAAGCTTCTGAAGCAGTGTAGTTTGAGCTGCTTTGACGGCCCCCATTTTTTTTCTCTCTGTCACCCAGGCGAGAGCACAGTGGCATGATCATGGTGCACTGTAGCCTCAAACTCAGGGGCTCAAGTCAAGCTCCCGCCTCAGCCTCCTGAGTAGCTGGGACTATAGGCAAGCATGATCATACCTAGCTGATTATTTTTTATGTTTTTATTTTTGTAGAGACAGGAGTCTTACTCTATGTTTCCAGGGCTGGGTGAACTCCTGGCCTCAAGCAATCCTCCTGCCTTGGCCTCCCAAGGTGCTGGGATTATAGGTGTGAGCCACTTTGCCTGGGCTTGATTCTTTTTTTCTTTTTCTTTACCATTGTTATTGTTGTTCTTGTTACCTCCTTTTCATCACATTTTCAGGGGTTTACTTGTTTGCTTTCTTCTTTTTTCATTCTTATTTCTCCCATCTCAAGATCAGGGAACAGCTCTTGGACTTAGCACTAGTACTGATCAGCAGTGATGGTGATCTACCAACTGGTTCTCAAAATCTTACTCTTGCCTTAGGCCACACAGAGTGCACTGTGGGCTTGTGGCATGTGTAACTCCAGCTCTGGTTGAGAGAGATTCTAATGATTCATAAAAAATAAGAAAGTGCCAGGCCTTGGAGGCAGTATGACACTGTTGAGAACCTTCCAAGGAAGTAGCTTTGACTCAATTTTGCACAGAATGCCTTAAAAATTTGCTGTATCTTCTCATTCTGAGGTTATCAATGGTCTTGGCAGCTAGAGGTAGTTCAGGGCTGAAGCTCTCTAGAATATTATTGGCCTGACAAATCTTGGTCTTTTTAGCATTAAGATGAGTGATAAAAGAATCACCAGCCCAGCCCCTCTGAAAAACTATTTTCTTTTTATCTTATTGATTCCAGTGTAATTGCAACTTAACCCATTGCTTCATTGGAGACAATTTGGAAGTGTTGTATAAACGTATTTCACCAAAAGTAGTAGTTTTCTAAGAATATGACTAGATTCAGGATGACCAGTCTGGGTTAGTGGACTCTGATAGGAATCCAGGATGTTGCACATTGTTAGAACTAGTCTGTTACTTATGTGAGGGATTCAAATGGGTAGTATCGGGAAACAGTTATCATTTTTTGTAGTTGTATACATTCATTGTTAAAGTGTTTGATGTTTAAATGATGGCCTAAAATCATGCAGTGAATCTGAAAAGTATAATTAATCTAAACTTAGAGTTTCTACTATGTTTAGGGTTAGGATCTCTTATTCTCTAAGCCCACAACTTTGTTTCCAGGAAAAAAAATGGATACTTTTAATCTAAAAAGCTACTTTATTAAAAATTGAAGATTAAAGTGCCAAATATGCAACTACTTGACTTTTATTTTTTTATTTTTTTTATTGAGACGGAGTTTCGCTCTTGTTACCCAGGCTGGAGTGCAATGGCGCGATCTTGGCTCACGGCAACCTCCGCCTCCTGGGCTTAGGCAATTCTCCTGCCTCAGCCTCCTGAGTAGCTGTTATCTATGACTTTAGGAATCAGAATGGTAGGCCCGTTTCCTCATACAGAGTTGGGGGTCAGTGATTGGAAGTGGGTACAAACGGGACTTCTAGATGCTGATGGTGTGGCTGCCATGTGCTTTCAGTAGAAAGAATTCACCAGTAAGTATGTGCTCATTTCTGCTATTTTATTTGAACAAAAAGTTCTTTAAAAAAGTCAAGTAGGCCGGGCGCGGTGGCTCAAGCCTGTAATCCCAGCACTTTGGGAGGCCGAGGCGGGTGGATCACGAAGTCAAGAGATCGAGACCATCCTGGTCAACATGGTGAAACCCCGTCTCTACTAAAAATATTTTTAAAAATTAGCTGGGCATGGTGGTGTGTGCCTGTCATCCCAGCTACTCGAGAGGCTGAGGCAGGAGAATTGCCTGAACCCAGGAGGCAGAGGTTGCGGTGAGCCGAGATCGCGTCATTGCATTCCAGCCTGGGTAACAAGAGTGAAACTCCGTCTCAAAAAAGAAAAGAAAGAAGAAAAAAAGTCAAGTAGTTGAGATTACAGGCATGGTGGCACATGCCTGTAATCCCAACTACTTGATTTTTTAAAACAACTTTTTATTCAAATAAAATAGCAGAAATGAGCACATACTTACTGGTGAATTCTTTCTACTGAAAGCACATGGCAGCCACACCATCAGCATCTAGAAGTCCCGTTTGTACCCCCTTTCAATCACTGACCCCTAACTCTGTATGAGGAAACAGGCCTACCATTCTGATTCCTAAAGTCATAGATAAGTTTAGCATACTTGTATACTTCATACAAATGGAATTTTACTTCCTTGAGTGTTCAAATAAGAAAAAAAATGATCTTTTAAACACTGCCATCTATCACTTATCACAAAGCTTATAATTTTCCTTAAAAGTTCCTTTAGTTCACTAGAACTTAATCATCTTTCCATTTTAATGATGGTACCTGTGGTTATTACAGTTTTTTATAGTGGATTTATACATTTACTTCATAACTTTCAGATGTTTGATTTTACTAAATCCAATAATAACCAATTCAAAACTCTACCTATAGGCCCCCATGTCCCTGATATGTAATTCATCTGTTTAGTTGTTGACTTTCTCAGTATCAGCATTCGCTGAGATGTATTCACAGCTCATCTGATCGTGAGCTGAGTGGTCCAGTGGAGGTCGAGGTCTAGTTTGAAGGGCATGGGAAAGGATGATAAGGTAAGCAGAGGAACCATGGGGTATCTAAAAATCCACTTGCTCCTGGAGTTCAGTTTGGGATATTTAGGCTGAGGCTTAGGTTTTTTTGTTTTGTTTGTTTTGTTTTTGAGATGGAATCCAACTCTGTCTCCCAGGCTGGAGTGCAGTGGCATGATCTGAGCTCACTGCAGCCTCTGCCTCCCAGGTTCAAGCAATTCTCCTGTCTCAGCTTTCTGGGAATACAGACGTGCACCACCACATCCAGCTGATTTTTGTATGTTTAGTAGAGATAGGGTTTCACCATGTTGGCCAGGCTGATCTCAAACTCCTGCCCTCAGGTGATCCACCTGCCTTGGCCTCCCAAAGTGCTGGGATTACAGGCATGAGCCACTGCACCCAATTGAGATTTAGTTTCTTGTGAGCCCACATTTCATGGTCTCTGAGAAATCTAGCATTTGCTTCATGGGTTTGTCCAGCAAATGAGTTACAGTTTTAAGTTCTTGTCAGTGTTGCTCAAATTTTAGGATGTCTAGGAATGAGAAGGTTGTTAAAAATGTAGCTAACTGAGCCCTGGATTTAGCTAGTTTGATTCTGAAGACCTGGGGTGCATCATAGGAATCTGCATTTTTGTTAATCCTCAAAGTGATTCTGGCACAGGTTGTCAGAGTCCCACCTGCCTTGAGAAACATTTCTCTAGGTAATAATTTTTAAACTTTATTATTGTCATGAAGCTATTTATGCAAGTGAACTATTATGTGGAACACCAGTATACACAACAATAATATTGGAGTAGTCATGACTAAAATAGGATTGGCAGGTGTTTCTGGAGCCCTGTCCCTCGGAGACTCAACACTTCTGGCCCCATAAGGCTTAATTAGTTTAGTTTGTAAGTTCTAGCCTAGACATAAAATGTTACTAGGTTCTGTCTAGTATGATATGAACCTAATATGATAAAATGGGCATCATTTTATAGTTTTATAGAGTACTAGAACTGGAAGTGACCTTGCAATTGTTTGATTCTGTCCTCTAATTTTTTCAAAACCATGATTCACAGAGATGTAGTGACTTTTTTTGAGATCTTGTAGCAAAAGTGTGACAAGCCACAGCCGGTCTTCTACCTCCCAATTCAGTGCAAAACCACGCCCCCACACACACTCCAAAACATTGCTCTCAGTCTCACTGCACCCTGATTATGTGACCTATTTGACAAGTGGCAAGACAAGGAAATAAATGTCAAGCTCCCAGTCTTCTAACTCTGCATATCTCATTTTAGCATTGTCTATCTGAGAGAAACTTTGATGCTATCAAATGAGTTTTCATATGCTTTCTTATACCAAAAACAAACCAGGTCCAATATAAAGACATATGAGACATTGGAGTAGTTGTATTCAACCAAGTAACTTTGATAGATACCACAGAGAGCTAACCTTCCTGCAGGCACCTCTGCTGCCTTTGCCAGGGGAGAATGATACTGACAGGGTGGGTAGAAGTGGATATGTAGTTCATGGATAAACCAATAGCATAACAGTCTTTCCTGATTCAGGGCCAAGCATTCACTTGAAATCAGCAGTATAGAATTTGTCTTTATGGGGACTCAAGTAATTACATCAATATAAAGATATAGTAATTGATATGGATAATTTTAATATGCACTCAGTGTTCCATGACCTTAGAAAGCAAATTTTTGGTCCTTGTTTTCTTATTCTCCCCATTGCACATAGAAAGGTCTTTATTGAGCTATAAATTAAGGCTATTACTGGCCTTTGTGGAAGGTGAATACAAGCATCATTTTTTTATGTGGCTTTGTGTCATTTAAAATTATTTTTCATTTATTACATGCCATGTGCAAGACACTTTTATTTGGCTGTTCTATCTTCCACCTCCCCATTTTGCTATACATATAGGCCTCAAGCACGCCACATTCATATTTCACTTAGTAAGTTCTTACTTTGTTAGTTTCAGGAAAAAAATCCATCTTTGAGGATTTTTTTTTTACTGTTTTTGTCAGAAAATGGAAAGTATGCAACAATGTGTTTTCTTTACTGCATAACTGCCAGAAAACTGAGAGCCAAATTTTAGTAATAATCTAATCTTGGGAGTTTGGCAGCATCTCCTCTCTCTGTTTCTTTTAGTTGGTCTCGTTGGTTTCTATTTTTTTTAATCCCGAATTGACCTATTTTGCATTTTTTTTAAATTTTGGGGGCTACTGTAAACATTCTTTGGAGGATTGGTCATTTGTTTTCTTGTGCATTTGATTTGATGTCTATGTGCCTGAATCGCCCTGACTCTAATGAGAAAGGAATGAGATGGGGGTAATAGGTTTCCCAAATCTTTCAGATAGAAAAGTATGCAAGAAGGAGAGCCAGACAGTGAAATACATCAAAGTGTTTTGAAAAATGGTTCCTGAAGACGCTTTAATATACTTGCTATTTGTCAGCATGTCAGCAGGCTAAGCATGAGGTTTTTTGGAAATGTCTTATTGATGGGACTGTAGCTGTGCCCAAAGAATTCATATTTGGCAGGCTGTTTCATGGTGACTCTATGTTACCTTGGAGCATGAGTGGCATTGAGTTGTTTGCTCTCTGTGTGGTGCTTTTCCTCAGCCCAATTTTTCTTTCTTTTGTCATAAATTACAATGTGCTGAGATCAACAAAAGATGTCTTTCTGCTCCCAGCCGAGGTGGTGGCCTTCAGCGATGGTCTGGTGCAGGCTGAGCTATACTGTGCAGGTCTTTCCAACCCTAAAGACTCTGTTGGAAAACTTGCCCTGTTCCTTTACAGAGCAAATGCCAACCCTACTGTGTCTGTTGATAAGCCATGTGATCACATGGACAGTTTTGAGATAATTGAACTGCTCAGGAGAAAAATGCTTGTTAATTTCAATAATAATAAGTTACATAGAAATATATATGTACAAAGAGCTTTACTGGTTAAAGAATGAATTTCTGCTTTTTTATGTTTTCTGTGTAAATTACCATTCCCAACTGCAGTAAGTTTCAAAATTTGGCCTTTTGAAAAGATCAACTCATGCTCTGTGGATTTCAGTAGGGGAATGGCCTTTTAGAGAGTCGCAAAGGTGGGGTGTCTGACCCTGAAGACCAGTCTGCCGTTGAACATGCGTTTACATATTTGTGTACAAGGGTTTAACACACTTAAAAATAAAATTAATCTTTTAAAACATTATGTTTATTTGAGGTTGGGAAGCAAGAAATTGCCCTTGCTCTGAAAATGTACTCATCTTTAGGAAAGTACAAATAGAAGTTTGTAGATAATGATCACTAGGAAAGCATTAATTCATTATTCTTTTTCCGAAGACTAAATTTACTACAATTGTGCAGGAATCTGCATGTGAAAGTTTCCAGCTACGAGTTTTTCACTGGAGCTAGAAAAGAGAGGGAAAAATCAGTTTTTTGGTGAAAATAAACATCAATACCCATTTTGATGTGAACATCTGAAGTATTATGAAACCAACTACATAAACTTTTAAAATTCTGAGGCTCATATATGAAGGGTGAGCATTGTGGGCAAATTTAGAAAGATTCTCTACATTTAAAGATGATTTAAGGGATTGGTACTATATGCACAGGATAGGCTTAATAATCAGTCACAGCAGATTCTGGAGTGGACTGGGGAGAAGTATGGGATAGTGCAGTGAGATGTACATTACTAGTCTCAGATTATAGCATGTCAGAGAAAGAAGACACATACTGAACTTAATGAACCACATTAATGGTCACAGCTCCTCCTCCTAATTCCTCTCGGTGCCTCATTGCTGTTTAGACTGGGAGGCACGCATTGACAGCCACGGCAGGATCTTCTACGTGGATCACGTAAACAGAACCACGACGTGGCAGCGACCGACAGCTCCCCCAGCCCCACAGGTGCTGCAGAGATCTAACTCCATACAGCAAATGGAGCAGTTGAACCGGCGGTGAGGATGAGCATTTTACTGTGACTGTTGTATTTTGTGGTTGGGCTAATTTTTACTTGGCACAAAGTAGAAGACATTGTTGTCTCTTTCATCTTTGGGTGTCCTGTCATTAAAGTGTAGCTGTTACCTCTTTTGATTCCCAGGCTTCACTGGACTTCTCTTGGTTAAAAATAATAATAATACTCAGCCACATATATACCTTGTTTGGAAACCAGAGAACAAACAAATGAATATGACTCCTTTAGTCAATCCAAGTATTGATCTTTAGTAAAGCAGAACATATATATGTGTTATTTAAAGCCAAATATCTTTTTTTAGTCTCTAGAATCTTTGTGGTTTGTCATTATTATCAACCTAAGCATTTTAGTTCAATCATTCTTTTTCAAGAATTAATTGCTGTAAAACATAAAGGTTTTTTTTTTTTTTTTTCCTTTAACAATATGGGAATTTACTTTTCTTTGGTTAAGGGACACAGAATTTAGTGTTATTAGTTTGGCAGGAAAATGTTCCCCAAACAGTGGACAGAAGAAATTTAATGCAGTGTAATTTAGTTAAACAGCAGATGAAGAAGTCCAGGGAATAGAGGTTGGAGGAAGAAACAGTTGAAGCTGAGAAGATAGTGAAAAGTTCTAGACTGTTGGGAGGCAGTTGAGTCCCATCTTTTAAAGGCTGCTGGAATGTAACTCTAGGCTCATGATTTTAGATATCAGAGTATCCGCAGAACCATGACCAATGAGAGGCCTGAGGAAAATACCAATGCTATTGATGGGGCAGGGGAGGAAGCTGACTTTCACCAAGCCAGTGCAGGTAAGAGCTTTGGGCTTTGTTTTTGTAATTTCATAAAAGTTGAAAAAAAATTAGGACTTTCAACAAATGAGGCTTTTGGTTTAGATAACTTTTGCTCTTCAATAATGTCTGGTAATGAAACTCCAAACACAGAGTTCACCAGAAACCTCTTCTAATCCTCAACTTTTAATTAATATTAAGAGAGGTATGACAAAACCCAAGTAGAATATAAATTATTTTAATTTCTTGATTTGTGGGATATTGGAAAACGAATCATCATTTAAAACATGTAAGAATGCATTAAAATGTCAATAGTGACTGGAAATATTACTTAATTCAATTTTAGTGTAATTAAGAACAGTCAGGTTTTACGTATGGATTTATAGCAAAGAGAAAAAGCATTGGGAGATTAAAATGATAGCACATGATGTAGGTATCCTAGGGTTCTTTTGAAATATAGACTGAAGTGAGTCGATGTTTCACTCATAGATTTTGCTGACAGCCTCTGTGGTCCGCCCTGTCTAGATTTCCGACGGGAGAACATCCTGCCTCACTCTACCTCCAGATCCAGGCTCACGTTGCTGTTACAGTCTCCCCCCGTGAAGTTCCTCATCAGCCCAGAGTTCTTCACCGTGCTGCATTCTAACCCTGTGAGTAGTGAATCTGAAAGAATGTGAAGAAAAGCAACAGGCCAAAGAAAACGATTCTTGTTTTTGTAATAATAGTAGGAATGATAACGATGACTCTTTCCTGAGCACTTAGTGTGTTCTGAGCCCTGTGCTGAACACTGTACACTTCAACCTGTTTAGTCCAAAGAAACTGTTTAAATTCACTGGGCTGCTATAACAAAGCACTGTAAGCTGGGTGGTCTATAGCAGCAGAAATTTATTTCTCATGGTTCTGGAGCTGAGAAGGCCAAGATCGAGGCACTAGCAGATACCATGTCTGATGACAGCCCATTTTCTAGTTTGTAGATGGCCGTGTTCTCCTTCCATCTTCATATGGTCTAAGGGCTGAGAGCTCTCTCTCAGGCTTCTTTTATAAGGTTATTAATTCCTAATTACATCTTAGGTCACCTCCTACCCCCACCTCCTAATAATATTATATTAGTGATTAGGTTTCAACATGTGAACTTTGGAGGACACAAACATTGGACCCATAACAGGAAGATTACCCCATGAGTCTCTGAGGGCTGAGGGAGTGGATTGCTGAAAGTAGTAATTAGAGGAAGGCCATCTTAACTGTACATGGATGATTTAGAATGAGGTGAACATGAACTCTGTCTGGATGTAATTCATTCATCATGGCATGTGTTGTTAGCCTAGATTAGGAGATAGATAAGACAATAGAGAAAAAGGATTCTGCATAAGAGGAATTGCAGGCAGGGATTTGGCAAGATTTGGTGGATAAATAGGTTGAATAGAAACTGAAGAAGTTGATCTCGAATGTTAATAATAATAATACATAAATAATGAACAATACATAATTAATAATGCTAGGAAAATTCAAATGAGGGATTTGTTAAAGGAATTGAAGGAAAACATACTGAATTTAAGAAGATATATCATGCACTTTAGGAAAAACAGAGTAGACCATAGACAAAAATAAAAATCAACATAGTCCTATCACCAGGAGCTGGTGATGAGGTAATTAGTATATATTAACACATATTTATTTATATTAATATATTTCTGCCTTACTTCTTCAGCTTTGTTTTACAAGTATAAACATCTTTCTGGTTTTCTTTATCATTGTCTCCTGGTTTACACGTTTAGCTTGGAGCAGAGAAGACTGGAAGGAGAGTAAGCAATGAATAACATGCTAGCTGTCCTCATATATTATGCAAGAAGGGTTAGATTTACTGAGCACTCAGCTTAGCAAGTTTGTTGATTATTATGTACAAGGCACTGAACTAAAACCTAGGGATACAGAGATGACAGTAACTGTGGGCCCTGACATCCCAGACTTGAGAGTAATTATAATGTCATAACCAGAATGACAAGCGCAATAATGGATGGCTATACACTGCTGGGGTGGGCGATTAACTCCAAAGGGAAGGCACATGGAAGAAGCCATAGACAAGTTTGCATTTGAGATGAGTTTTAAAGGCTGATTAGGAGCTTGCCCTGGAAACAAGATGGGCAGGAGTACTCTAGGCAGAAGGAGCTTTTATAAAACAATAGATTCATGAAGCTACCAGGCTGTCTTGATAATTACTGCTGAAGTTCTAAACTTGGATTATTAGTACTATATAGCAACTCGGTGATGCTGGTGTATTGAGAACATAGGACACTAGTGAAAGTCAGATTTGAGCCTGGGAAGGGAGACAGAAGCCAGGTTACACAAACCTAAACTCATGTATGGGACAATTCTAGGAGGTGACAGCCTTTCATACAAGACAGAATGGGCTAACGTTTAGAGTTCTCACTGTAGCATGAAAAAATCATGCTTTACCAGGAAGAGCACAGATGGCACAAACTCCCCTTTGTTTTTTGTTTATTTATTCATGCCTTCATTTAATCAGTATTTCTTAAATGCCTGTGATTTGCCTGGTACATTCTAGACTCTGGGAATAGAGTGGTAAACAAGACAGAGTAGACTATAGCTAACAGACTAGTGAATAGAAAAGATAATGCAGGTGCTACAGTGTGGCATGAGGCAACTGAAACCACACACTGGGATAGTTACTTGGGGATGAGGTAGAGGAGGCACTATTTTATTTTTATTTATTTTTTTATCTCAAAATCTCACAGGGAGGCACTATTTTAGATTAGGTGGACAGGAAGGCCTTTCCAAGGGAGCCACATTCAAGCTGTCATAAAATGTCCAGAAACCAATAAGGTAAATGTCTGAGAATAGAACCTACCTTGCTAAGGAAGTGCAGAGACTCATGGGCAGGAATGAGTTAGCTGTGGTACATAATACAGTCAGGGAAACAAGCAGGGTTACAGAAGGTAGGGCTTGCATGATCTGGCCAGGCATTTGGGCTTTATTCTAACAGCATTTTGCATATGGGAGTAATTTAGAGTTTTTAAAGTTATTTCTAGCTGTTATGCAAAGAATGGGTTTTAGAGGGCAAGATTGGCATCAGGGAGACTAAGTGAAAAGGTCCTGTAGTAACACATGGAAGTGGCTTCGGCTAATGCAGTTAGCAGCAGAGATGGTGACAAGTACATGAATATGGGATATATTTTGAAAAGAGAGTTGACATTCTTGCTAATAGATTGGAGTATGGGATAGGAGAAAAAGGGCTTCAAGAAGGAGCAACTATAGCTAGACTAATAAAGAAGAAAAGAGATAAGAATCAAATAAACATGCTCAGAAACGATAAGGGACATATTAACAGTGACCCTGCAGAAATACAAATAACCATCAGAGAATACTATAACACCTCTATGCACACAAACTAAAAAATCTGGAAGAAATGGATAAATTCCTGGACACATAACACGCTCCCAAAACTGAACTAGGAAGAAATTGAATCTATGAGTAGACCAATAATGAGTTCTGAAATTGAGACAGACATAAATGGTCTGCCAACCAAAAACAGCCCAGGATCAGATGGATTCACAGCTGAATTCTACCAGAGATACAAAAAAGAACTGGTACCATTTCTACTGAAATGACTCCAAAAAAATTGAAAAGGAGGGTGTCCTCGCTAACTCATTCTATGAGGCCAGCATCATCTTGGTGCCAAAACCTGGAGAAGATATAACAGAAAAAGAAAACTTCAGGCCAATATCCTTGATGGGCATGGATGCAAAATTCTCAATAAAAAATAAAATATTAGAATCCAGCAGCACATCAAAAAAGTTATCCACCACAATCAAGTTAGCTTTATCTCCAGCATAGAAGATTGGTTCAATATATGCAAATCAAAAAATGTGATTCATCACATAAACAGAACTAAAGACAGAAACCATAGGATTATCTCAATAAATGCAGAAAAGGCCTTCAATAAAATTTAGCATCCCTTCATGCTAAAAACTCTCAATCAACTAGGTACTGAAAGAACATACCTCAAAGTAATAAGAGCCGTATATGACAAACTAACAGCCAATATCATGCTCAATGGGCAAAAGCTGGAAGCATTCTCCTTGAAAACCAGCACAAGCAAGGATGCCCTCTGTTACCCCTCCTATTCAACATAGTATTTAGAAGTTCTGGCCAGGGCAATCAAGCAAGAGAAAGAAATAAAGGATATTCAGCTAGAAAGAAAGAAAGTCAAATTATCTTTGTTTGCAGATGACATGATTCTGTATCTAGAAAACTCAATCTTTTTATCTCAGCCCAAAAGCTTCTTAAGCTGATAAGCAACTTTAGCAGTCTCAGAATACAAAATCAATGGTCAAAAATTGCTAGCATTCCTATACACCAACAATGGGCAAGCAGAGAGCCAAATTATGAATGAACTCCCATTCACAACTGCCACAAACAGAATAAAATATCTAGGAATACAGCTAACAAGGGAAATGGAGGACTTCTTCAAGGAGAACCACAAACCACTGCTCAAAAAGAAATCAGAGAGGACACAAACAAAAGGAAAAACATTCCATGCTCACAAATAGGAAGAATCAATATTATGAAAATGACCATACTGCCTAAAGTAATTTATAGATTCAGTGCTAATCCCATTAAACTACCACTGACATTCTTCATAGAATTAGAAAAAAACTATTTTAAAATTCATATGGAACCAAAGAGGAACCTGAGTAGTCAAGACAATCCTGAACAAGAAGAACAAACCTGGAGGCATCACACTTTCTGACTTGCATATACTAGTAACTTACAACTATACTAGTAACCAAAACAGCATGGTACTGGTACAAAACAGACACATAGACTAATGGAACAGAATAGAAAACTCAGAATTAAGACTGCACACCTACAACCATTTGATCTTCACAAACCTGACAAAAACAGGCAATGGGGAAAGGACTGATTCCCTAGTTAGTAAATGGTGCTGGGAGAACTAGCTAGCCATATGCAGAACATTGAAACTGGACCCTTTCTTTACATTATATACAAAAATTAACTCAAGGTGGATTAAAGACATAAATGTAAAACTGAAAACTCTAAAATCCCTAGAAAAAATTCTAGGCAATACTATTCAGGATGTAGGCGCAGGCAAAGATTTCATGACAAAAATGCCAAAAGCAATTGCAACAAAAGTAAAACTTGACAGATGGGATCTAATTAAACTAAAGAGCTTCTACACAACAAAAGAAACTATCATCAGAGTGAACAGTCTACAGAATGGGAGAAAATTTTGGCAGTCTGTTTATGTGACAAAGGTCTAATATTCCAGATTCTACAAAGAACTTGAACAATTATTTACAAGAAAAAAACAACCCCATTAAAAAGTGGGCAAAGGACATGAATAGACATTTCTCAAAAGAAGGCATACGTGTGGTCAACAAACATATGAAAAAAGCTCGACATCACTGATCATTATAGAAATGCAAATCAAAACCACAATGAGATGTCATTTCATGTCAGATAGAATGGCCATTATGGAAAAGTCAGAACACAACAGATGCTGGTGAGGTTATGGAGATAATGGAATGCTTTTACACTGTCAGTGGGAGTGTAAATTAGTTCAACCATTGTGAAAGACAATGTGGTGATTCCTCAAAGATCTAGAACCAGA